AAAGGGCGTGACGCACGACCATAGCCAATTCTTATAGTAATTGATTTCGAAATGGGACGGCCTTTCCGACATTCTGGTGCCAGATCGAGGCGCATAGACCACAAAAAAATAGTCAAATGTACACAAAATTTCCATTTACGCTGTATAAAATGCGCATCTTATTGCTTTTTATTCAAATTGAATGAAGGAATGAGCAAAAATTTGTACACAAGTTATTTTTAAAATTTAAACATTGAAAAAGCACCGAAAAAGTTACGATTTAGACATTTTTGGAAAATTAACAAGCACAAAATGTAACTTTATCACTATTGCAGAAAATGATTAGACCAAATAATATTTTATTTTGAAAATAAGTACCAAGTTTCCATATACGCTGTATGTATAAAAATCGATTTTTTATTCAATTCCCTTAATAGTATATTACATAAAAAGCACGGAAAGCGACAAATAACGCACAAAAGAGAAGTCTTATGCACGAGGCGTCAACCGAGCACAGAAGCCGCACGAGTGCGTTAGTCACTTTCCTTCGAGTTACGTACACGATTTTTCCCACGGTCCCGCAACCCCACGACAAAAAACACTATTATCTTCAATGAAATGATTTAATGTTTCTGTTATAAAGATCTAAGATCGACTGTTATGAATTAGTCGTCTATTAATATTAAATACTTACTTAATTAAGCTGATTTAAATAGTTTTAAGTTTTAAGGTTTAAATAGTCGATGGTTTTAATTGCAAAACTTTGCGTCAATTTGCCAGACGCGCCGAGAGTTCTCCGTCAATCACACAACCTCTTACGTTATTTTCATAGCACACACGTGTGTTAGGAAAATAATAATGCAATTCGTTCGATATCGTCAACTTATATGGGTAGTTGACTGTATAGAAAATATCACTATCATCAATTTTTTATAAAATTCTGTACTCAAATTCAATAAAACACAATAAAAGATGAGCAAAACGTTTGTCCTTATACAGGTGCGCCAGAACTCGCGCCCCAGAGAAAATTTTCAAGTAAGGTAAAATACCAGGAACATGAAAAAAATGTTTAACAAATTCTATCTGTCACAAAAAAATTTATGTCTATTGAATGATACTGATGATTTTGTATATGTTTTTTTACAATTATTTGGTAATGGTACAAAAATTTTGCCAATGAAAGCCACAAATAACATTGAACAAAAGAGTTACAATTTAGGACACAGCTTCCTTGTTTCCTCTTTTAATAGCCTATAGCAAAAAATCTTGTGAAAATTTCCCAACAGAAATAAATAGAGTCAAAGTGCAAACTTTAAACCCTCATAACTTTTTTTAACATTTTTTCCATGTTCCTGGTATCTTACCTTATATGTCATTTTTCTCTGGGGCGCGAGTTCTGGCGCACCTTGTATACTTTTTTTTAAATTCATGCATTCAAAACACAAGAAAGGAGTAGTACCGTGCGATCAAATAAAAAATAAGTAAGAGTAAGCGTCGATTAAATTCTACAGTTGGCAACAAATTGGCTGGGAGTCTGGGCTGGAAATTTTCCACACAAACTGAAAGTGAAAATGACCATCCACCGTTTTCCTCTTGTACAGCAATAAAAAATTACTGAAGTGAACAACAAAAATCAGGATTGCCATCTGAAGGAGTTTAATCACCGCCTACTCTAATTTATATATTTTTTGATCGCAGGGTATTATTTCAGCAAAGACCCTTCTTAAGACTCTCTTTCTTCGAACAATTTAAAATGTATCTTTTTGTTTCTGTTATTGTTATTACTATTATTATCTCGGCCGGTATTGTCCGCCTCCTTTCACTGTTTTGTCTCGCTTTACATTTTTCTGTAAATTTTTTCCGTTCAAAGTTTGTGTTATGCAGATGAAGTAAAAGCTCTTTGCATTGTTGTACGATCGTCGATCGCCTTTTATTAACTCATTGAACCAGTTTAAGGCCGTGCACGGACTACGTGATTTTCCCATTTCCTAATCGCACAGTCTTTGTGTACACAGATGTAGTGCCGCCCCCGCATTCGTTTCTAATTGAGAATAACAGGAATTAGTTGTACTAATTGCAGACTTTATCAGAAGTGTATTGTGTTTCTTATATGCCGTTTTAGCAAGACCCATTTGTAAATCTATGAACACTGTTATTGTTAGATTCGCTAAAGCATATCGCCGTCTTATTGTTCGGGAGCTTGTATAATGCTAATTTTATGATAGAAGTGCCACTCGAACATTCGGTGATAAGGATTAATGGCTAAAAGTGTAACATGCTGAGTGACACACTTACACAAGGCGATTGGTAGCTCTGTAGATACTATAAAAAGCATAAAAGCAGCAAGTCATTTCATTGATAAAAAGAACCAACTAAAAAATTATGATAGCCAATCGCCATTTTATTTGTTTGCTTTCAAACATTTATTATTATCTGAAGAAATTTTATAGAATATCAGAAATAGTTAATGAAAACATTTAATTAATACAAAAATAACAATTTCTACATTTAAAAGTTGTGCAGCCAAAAAAATTAAAATTAAAAAAATTCAAAAATCAACAGAAAAACACCTTTTTGAATAATATTCACATAAATAGATGGGTAGAAAAGCTTTATTCTGAAATATTGAAATAAAACGTTCCTCTGAAATTAATTAAGCTATTCTCTAAAAATCTGCTATAGTCTATAAGCTGGTATATTGCATAGCTAATAGAGCTCTGTATATAAATTTTTTAAAGTCCTTATAGAATCGTATCAAAATTGGTATTCTCTAAGCGTCTATGTAAACATTCAAGTTATAGCGCTGTAATTACCCTAAAGTCTGGTTTTTATTAAGTGGAAATGTCAAACAGTCTTAACAAATTTATTCATGGTAATTTTTGGATGTTGGCAGTTCCAGTTTTTAATTTAATTAATAAAAAATGGCATTCAGCAAAAAAATCGTCTAAAAAATTTAGAAATGAAAACACAAAAACGGGAACCAATTGAGTATCGCGAACAGTTTTTGGAAATTTGAAGACGAAGTCAGAAAAAGACTACCGCTAAAATTTAGACACAATTTGTAATGTAAATTTGCTAAACATTCTCTAATTTTTAGTAAGAAATTAATGAGAATACAACATAAACATCAAAGAGAAAAAAACGTAATTAAATTAGTAGGATTGTTTGCAACGTTTTTGAAGAACGAGTTGAAGAAGTAACAATTTTGAAACTAAAGCCGAAGGAGAATTTAGAAAATGCATCAACTTTGAGCTCATATTAATAAATTACACAAAAATTTATTACCGATTTTCATAAAACCTGCTTGTACCTTTACAAAATAACTTTTTTTCTAAATAGACACTCTTTTTATTAAAGATTTTGTAGTAAGAAGCTCATTATTGTCCACAACATTACCTTCTTTTTTCTTCATTTAATAATAAATATAATGCAATTAGTGCAATATTATTACGATCCATCACTGAACTATTATTAACTTTACACGATACCAATAATTATAAGAGAACAAAAATTAGCATCTCTGGCGAAATACGGAGAGAAGTACTTATAATAAATTATTGAGAAGTGACATTGTTACTATGACAATATATCGTTATACAGACTATAAGTCTTTACGGTCAGCAAATTTCTCGTCATAACTTTATAGAAACTTTAAGCTTATATAAATATTTCCTTAGAGAATTCGATTTTTACTTATAGTCGATAGCTTAAAGAGTTATAGCGCTATAGCACGTATTTTTTAGCACCATAAAACTGTTTGTATAGCTTTTTAAAGTTTTACAAAAAAATTTATCTTATTTTTCTACATAGCAATTACTAAAAAAGTTAATTAACAGAAATCGTTAAGACGGCGTTTATTTGTGATGTTACCTCCAGTTTTTCCATTTTATGCAGTCATTTTTTTAACCCTTAAAAAAGCATTTTTTGAAGTATCATTTCGATCTCAAAAGTCTCTAATTTCTATATTTGATTTAGGAGTAATATTTTATAGGTATTTTATTCTGTAAAAAAAATTATTCCTGACAAAGAATCAAAAGTTTTCTTTGATTTTATTGTTGCCCTGTTTAATTATTTTTTTTTAATAAGAATTTATTTGAGTAATTTTTATTTTGTACTTCTTTTTGTTTTAAAAAATATTTAACACTGTAATGTTTTTTTCTTCATATAATCATAAAAATGTAAATACACATGGTGCTATGTACATACGTTGTTCATAATATAAGTGTAGATAAAATCTCTCTTTGACTTCCTTCGTAACTTCAGAGGCAGAAAGCAAGAACCTGGATGGAACGAAGCTTTGACTACTATCTAATTGAGGGCGCTGTTCATAATTTAAAATTCTGAAAGTTTATCAAAAAGTAAAGTAAATTTTTTAACATTGTATACTACCTTTAGTTAAAGAAAAAAATCTTTTTATGTAACGAAGATTTGTGTGTAATAATTACTGTTTTTAAAGTATTTTTAATTAAATTCAAATCAAAGTTAAGTAGGTAGTGATTAAGAAATAACAAAATTTAAAATAGAGTTTTACTCTTTAAAAGCTGCTTTTTAAATAATTTTTGACCAAAATTAGAAAAATTAAATTTTGTGTACAATAAAAATCTTGGAAGTCGTCTTTAACGATTTTATCACAAAGTAGCAGTCACTCCCGAAGATAAAACTCGATAACGACAGAAATAAACGTGTTCAAAAACTGTGAAAAGGGCTTGAATTTTAAAAACATCTTCTCAAATGCAAATTTCCCACTATTAAACGGTAAACAGTAACCTGTGACCATCCCATGAAAACATTTAATCACAGTCATATATCAGAAAATACCATTATCTTTTACGAGTTCCGCATCAAAGCTGTTCCTTCAATTCCTTCACTTACAACTTTGCGTGATTTTTTCACAAAATTCCAAAATCCCGTTACCGAATCGTAAAATGACAAACCTTTTCGGTGAAAAAGCCAAATTATATTTGTGTGGTCCTGGTTTAATGGCCGCGTAATTACAATTTGTTGTCTCAGAGAACAATTACCTGGCAAATTGATCCCCGACATGAGGAGTTTCTCCGGGAGGTCCGTTATCCTTTTCGGCCTGGCAATTTCCACCTTTCGACTCGAAGATCCTGAAAATAAAAAAGCAACGTTTTAAACAATCGCTCGCTTCCTTCTTGATTTTTCCCGCGCTCTGACACTTTCTTCATGATTTATCGTTTTATAATAATTGCCATCAAACTTTTACTCGTAATAATTCAACAAGGTCCTCGAGGCAAAAAATGAAAACTTGTTTATATAGGGTTAACTCAATTCAATTCGAAATTAAAGCAGCTGCAATTTATGTTTGATTGACGGGGCAAAATGCTAAATTGTTATTAAATAAGGCTTACAATGAATGTGACATTAATTGCTTTTATAATTCGATTAAAGTGCTTGGATTGATTTAAAAGAAATAAAGTGGGCCAGCCGACCCAAGACCGTTTAGCAAACAAAGGGTTTGTTCAGTTCAGTCAATTGAGAGAAATATTTTCAAAACGTAAAGTGGGTCGCAAAAAATTTTCAGTGAGTTTTAAATCAAGTGGCGTCCCGCAGTGAGCAATATAAAACCACAATTTTTGACGACCTGAACGATCGCCATTTTAATCCACGTAATTAATGCCAGCTATTAATAAGACTTTCTAATAAGAGAGTTTTCTTTGTTAAACAAATATTTAAAAAAAAATAAAAAAAAGTTTAGTAGTGCCTTATTGTAGTACCGGAAAAGTGCATTATTTTATATTAAGTCGAATAATTTATTGAATAAAGAACACGTACCTAGATGTTTTTCTTATCTTGATCATAAAACGATATTCCATTCAAAGATTTATTGAAATTAAAATAAATAATAGTGCAGAGAAAGCCAACAAAGAAAGAGTGTAGGAGAAAAAAAGTTGACTATAAGCCAATGCAAAACCTTTTTAAGTTTGTTTCTTTTAAAAATGCTCATTCCTTACTGTACTTTTATTCTTGATGGCAATATAGAAAAAAATGTCAGCGTTCCTGTATTGAATTTTTGACGTTCTATATGTACATACACACAAGGTGTCCAATTTTTGATTTTTTTAATATAAAATTAATAAAAATAAGCCAGCATTTTGGTAATTTTGTAAATTTTTTTTCTAAATTAAGATATTTTTTTCTATAGCAGATGTTAAGCTATTTCATCAACTCTTTTGAGTAGACAAAATAACACTTTAACCGCAAGGGTAGATAAAGTAACACTGTAACAGCAAATGTAGATAAAATATAAATAAAAAAATAAAAAAACTAATTTTATTCATTCAAATTTACAAATTTTATTTAATTATCCACGAGGTGGAATAAAGCGTCCGATTTACACAACGAGTTCAATACAACATTTTATTCTTCCAATTAGACTCAACACGACTTAAACTTGCTTTAAATCTGGTAAAAATAATCTAACGTTTTGTACCTAGTGAGAAATGTTAAAAATTGTAATTTTTTTTGAAATTTCATTCTTTCTCTTAAACTGTAAGTCCTGCAATAGAAAAAAAATTTGTGTTATACATGACAATAAAGATTGTTTATCCACTTGTGAAATAAGTTCACACGTGACTTCGTCACTCGTGAATTTAACCTTTTCACTCGTAGATAAACAATCTCTTTATCGTATTGTATAATAACTAACTATTATTAATGATTTAATTACTAAAAACTGACGATTCCCAAAGGATCTGCATTAAAAACTTTCGCTTAGTTTCATCGTCATTAATAGGTAAGTGTTTTCATCTAAAAATTTCGTTTTTAAAGTCGTATGCTTTTAGTTTTTATCTTTATTAGTATTTTTCTTAATTTATTTTGTATACATGAATATTTACACCTCCGAATTCAGGTTGATGTTAATCACTTTCATCAAACCACAATTAACATTTCGCGCCTTTTATCTCGTCGATTTTTCATTCGTATTGACCCAAAAATGCCCAAAACCGTTGATTTCTTCACCTCCCGAAATGTCACGGAGTTCACATTGTCACATTTACTCCATTTTCATAATTTATGACTCGATTTAAACGCAGATTTTTCAACCAACTCAAAAAATAAATCATCGTATCATAGAACTGTTGTGAATGTGGGCCACAACTGTTCCCGTCCAAATACGGAGTTATCATGTCGCATCGGTTGATCTCGCGGGCCCTAACACGACTTAATTTAATTAAAAACCTCCGTAAAAGTTCAATTAAAATGATTTACGCCCATGTGCACGACGCTTTGACAACACTCCAAGACATTGGTAATACTTGAGTTGAGCATTATGAGGATTTATATCGACGTGAACTTTGCGTTACAGAAATGAATTATTCATGCGATTGGACACCAGATAGATATTATTGATTAGATATTTTGCCATTCATTTGAACTTGGGATGACAATAAACCAACACCCGGACAAAAATAAACATTTGAAATACTGGGAAAATAGAGCGGATTCACCCCATGTCCCCACGTGAGAACTTTGGGATAGGCGGTGGAAAAGGAAAAATACTGAACAATTCTCATAAAATAATGAGATTACTATGACATAATTAAAAGAGAAATCAAATTTTACAAAAAAGCTTTTATACTTTGCCCTCTGTTAGAGACTGGATTTTAGAATAAATGCCTTTTTGTTTAGACATAATGAATGCGAGTGATCTAAAAGCTCGTTTGTATCCTTTTTTTTTAAACTTTATTTATTTGACTCAATTTTTTTTTATTGAATATGAATACAATAGTAACGAACTCTTTTTGGAAAAAAGGAAGACAATTACGACAGTAGTAGAACCAAAAGACATAACGCAACTTTAATGCCAAGTTGTTAGTTGTGTTGTCTTGTCATTAAATTTGGTGTGTAAGCCTATTAGATGCAAATACAAAAATGTAAATAGTTTTATATCTAGTGTGAAAAAATTTACAAATTTGCAAGGATTAAACACCAGATGTTCCTTTACCCCCAGAACTGGTTTTAACTAAGTGAGGAACTTGAGTGGATGCTGCTTTTATTCTGATAATTTTGAAAGCATAAAAATGTATGTTCATCTTTCATGTTCAGCCAATTAGTACCATTGTAGAGTATGTTTTACTTTTTAGGTCGTCATAGATTTTCTAACCGACCAATCAGATTCAATAAAAAAGTTCAAGACATTTGCAGAAAAAATGATATAATAAATGAATTGCGTTATATTATGGTCCATTTTGCAGTATTACCATTCAAAATTAATGAGCTACAGGAAATAGGATTACCTTCACGGAATCATTAAAAATTGTAGAAAATGTGAAACGATTTGCACCAAGAAATGTAGTTAAAGCTGCTTTTGAAAAATTGCAGGCTACCCTCTCAAAAACCCTAGATATATAACAAAATTAAAAATTTATAATTCACTGAATGAAATTTCTCTAGATTCTGACATTGCCTGCTCTGTTTGTACTATCACAAGTTGTGATGTAGAAAGACCATTTTTTGTTTTGAAAATTGTAACCAATTTCACAGATGCAAATTTAGAAAAATATTTAGTGTGCTATGCAAATGTGAGTTTTTTTATTTTGAAATTTATGTTCCTACTCTACCAAAGTGTATTATGGGCAATTTTTTTATAAAATTGTTATAAGTAAAAACTTGTGAGTTAATTATCGATTTTATTGATTTTGTATTTCATGTCCTGTTTTAGGATTTGTCCTAGTTTTAGTTTTTTTAGCCCAATTTTCCAACTTTTAACGTCTTAAAAATCCTGTCTTTACTTATTATGCTTATTAGAATTACGTAAAAATTCCTATCTTCATCGAGGTTCGAACCCGACACTTAACTGCCGGGAGCAAGAATTCTTATGTTAAGAGGGGTCGGGCTCTATTTGCTATAAAACATTATTAACAAAAAAACAAATTTGATTTGTTCCACTACTAAAACAAAGGTAGCGCAATTTAAATTGAAGAAAACTGGACGTACCAATTACCTGTTTACCATTTGAGTCATATGTCATTTCATTGATATCGTAGGTACTGTGTACGAATTTATTTACTTACAGTTTTTATCTCGAGATTTGTTGTTTGAGAATTAGTTACCTCTATAATATCATTTATTATTTATTAAATTTATTTAACAATCCAAATTTTAACCTGCCCTCTTCCAGATTTTGGTTACGTAATTCTTGAAAGGGAAGTTTGATACAACCAGGTAAAAAATACCCAAATTTTTACGGGAATAGGTTTCAAATGAAGGCTGTGTATAAACCGGGACTTTTTGTGGACATAAAACTTTCAAAAAACTGCTTACAGTTTTATAATTTTCTCGCCAATCAAAAATCAATATCGTCATACTCTAGTGTGATCGTTTACCTCAAAGACGCATTTGATAGTTTTTCCAAAAACCGCCCTAAATATATAGGTATCTTACTCCCCCAAAGTTACCCTTGCCAAGATAGGGAATTTCAATGCATTTTTCGAAAAGGTTTTCTCGGCTATTATAAGGAATTTTTTGGTTTTTATTTTTTTGATGAAACCATTTTAGATATTTCTAGGGATATTGTTATGTAGCTAATTTAAATTCTTATTTTTTATATATTTTTTAACTTATTTTTTATAATAAAATTATAGTATTTATATGGAAACTAACAATGTCCTTCCTACATGTACCAAAGAGCTTAAGAAAAAAAAATGAAATCATTCGGATAATTAATAACTGAAAAATCTCTTGTGGAAAATATTATTAACTTTCGTAGTGTGAAAATCGTCTTGTCTCTCTCAACCCTAGTTCTTTTTCACAACAAACTGAGCTTACCGTAAGCAGACCCCCATCACCGGTTTTATCTGATTTATGACCTTACGAGGGATGTTTCGCATCTATAAGGAAACAACTAAAAGTACAAGCTGTAAAATTAGGTCATTTTAAGAAATGAT